GGAACACATTCTTTTCAAATAAATCAGTGTACCCCTTAAGTTAATAGATTACCCATGTACAAGGATATTTACAATTTTATAGCTAACCACTGTGTTACATTATGTATAAATGTTACAACATGGGTAACAAACAAATGCTGCATTTAAATGAACACCTTAACAGATACATAGTATGAGTGTCCGTCCTCGACGTTGTGGGACGTATCAACTCCCAAACATTGCTGCTCTGTCAGCACAAAATCTGACACATCTGTGTATGCAGGTCTGGTACCCATAGCAACACGGTATTCTTTCACGCCACTTTCCTGGTCAGAGAACACATTCTTCCAGCTGTGTACATTAGAAATATACCAGCAACAATGCCTTTCAAAAATTTCACTGATGATTAGCTTTCATTAAGGAGATGAAGAAGCATACACATTTTCTTTAAACTATTATTTTCCAAAATAAGATGTTCAATAAAGACCTTGGGGATAACTGGGACACTTACAATCCAGATGCATTTTCTTCTTGTAGATTATTATTTCACTCAAGATCACGATTCTAAATAGTATGTGACTGCGTCATATGTAATTTACTTCTTTGGAAGTTGTGGATACATACATATATACACATATATTAACATGTTTTTGTAGCTTGTTCAAGTGTAATGTAATCAGTTATAGGTATAAGTTTCTGTTTAACATTCAAGATTAGTTTATGTTGTTTTCTTGGAAACATGTATACCACTGCCCTACTTCCAGAAACTTACGAATTTTGGGTAACTTTCGAATGACTTGTAGAATTATTCAGAACATTAAGATATGGTGCTGAACAAATGAAATATCACTTTTACCAGACATTTATAAAAGTGGATGTAATGTATCGTTCCTCCACTTGTATGTGTTGTCCAGTTAGTACTGGAGGTGTGGAGTCGACAAGGAAACCCTCTGATACAGCAACTGTTGTTTTGTTCACAAAATCTGTAGCTGAAAATAGATTAAATGTTAAACGACTGCACATGCCTTTAGCACAAACGTCAAAGCATGTTGAACGCACACAATAACTTATATAGCATGGTAAATCAGAGATCTGTTTGACCAATGGCATGATAAAATGACTAGCATAATATATAAGGACTTTACCTTTGACTGTCACATAGTATGTGCTTCCAGTGTTCAGGTGCAAACTGTGTAATGTAACGTGTTCTGCTGAACCAACATTCGTGAATACTTCAACATCCTCTCCCCTGGGCGTCGAGCCTGAAACACACGAACAATGTTAAGTTCCTCTTATTGCAGGATTGACGATGGAAATGAACATGACTTCAGGAGTAAATGATCAGGTTGAACTGTTCAAATTAAATATCTCTAAAAGAAGTAACCGGAACAGCTTTTCGGAGAAGCGTTTAGAACCTAAAGCAACTACATAATTTGAGATCCCTGTAGAATGCGGTGCCCTCCTTTCTTCTTTAACATCCGTGAACCCTGTCCACGTTGTCACGACCAGCAATGGACAAATGGAAGCCTACAATTGACAGTTAATTTAGCGCTGATAGTTGATAGCGATCGACAATTGTAAGCCAGGACTTACATTATTACTGATTAGCAATGGGCAGTGGACATAGAGCAAGCGGGGGGCCGGGGTTTATTAGCACTGATAAGTAATAGGATGGAAATCCATTAATTCTCTTTTTATGTGTATCCCTTCTAAATGCCATTGAAGGACTCGTATTGATATCCATTAAGTGAATAACACTTCCAATTGGAAGTGGAGTAAAAAAAGGGAAATGCGTTTAACTGAAGTTTCTTGTTAATGAAACCAGAGGCACGTGGCTTTCCCAAAACTAGACTGTGAAAATGCCTTTAGATTCCTACTATGTAAGCTGGAGGCAATGTATGTAGGCATTCATCAAACCGACGGTAACCGTTTCATGTTTAGTGGCATGTAATGACTTCATGAATGGGGGGTTAGGGGGAGCTACTGTTTTTCTAGTTGGTTTAGTTTCACGAAACAGAATTGATATATCGAACAGATAGTGCCGCACGTTGTCACCTGAACACAATCCCCGGCTCGTTCATGTGTTTGCATCTTAATGCTACGTACAAGGAAGTTGGCCAGTTATACAATAAGAGCCAAGACACTCCATGTGACTTCTTTTTTGAAGAACCATAGACGCGTAGGCATAAATGTGACCACATAAGTTACAACTGCCCTATTTTATCGTAGCGGGAGTTCGGGTACTTATAACAGATCCGTCATCTTTGTTTACTTTTCTAAAGGTAAAAAAAGAATAAATTGATCTTTGGCGTCGTGAAGCCCATTACTCCTGTCCCCGGCCGTGATATTGCTGGAATATTGTCAAAAGCGTCGTGAAACTACACTCACTTACTCACTCACTCACTCATGTTCTGGACATTACTGCAATGTAAAAGTACGACTGAACATGTTGTGTCGAGAGCAGAGTTTCAAACTCGTAGGCACATGCAGAGGTTGCGTCTGCGGAGAAATATGAGGTTCGGTTGTATTATTGATGCATAGGACGAACAAAATGTGATCACTACCCTCACCACCAGAATATAACTGGACTATCCTGCTTATTCATATTCATGGTCAATCGTCAGGTCGAGATTATTTCCCGTGCTTACCAGTAGAACTTCGGAGATATTAATGCCCCACCAGCTTTTACAAGTTTATTTGTTATATTATTGTCAGTTTATGGCCAGTAAACATAGTATTGACACAACCTAAAACATAGATAATTTCAGATTCAAACGTTATTTTTCCGAGTGATTCCTGAAATGATGCTTGCTTCTTCTCATCAAGATTTGTGTGACAGATATTTTTAACGGAATGGGTGTTAGCCGTGTTTGGAAGCAGGGTGATTCATGAGTCAACTCAAAACTTGATACTGGCAGTAAATAGCATGTAAATGCGTTTGTCAACGATGATAATACTGTACCAATTCCCTTTGGATCTCTTCAAACTTTCTTTCCTCCAATCGGCTATATATGGGATGATATGTTCCTAATTGGATCTATTCTCAAGACAAAGTTAAATATGTATATACAATATTTGCAAACACATTAACTAGCTTAATCAATTGTTCACAATTAGCTGGCAGAGTTATTTCAGTGTGGCCAGTATCTAGCATGTTCCAAACACGAACACCCTAACAGCGATTATATGAAACACTGGGGATACTGATGCCCTCCTCCAGCTAGGTCACAATTGCTGTACTCACTCAAGTTTACAGAAGACGATCACAAACATCCTTAATGTAATCAGCTATAATTATATAATGAAGAAATATTGATATGCATCCAACTTTCAACAGCCTTATCAGTGTGTCATGCCTTTACTGTAGAATATGTTTGGTGTCTTTACACCATGTAGTTACACGTTGCTAAACTGTTTCGTAAAGTAAACCAGTTATTTTTCTCGCTTATTGACACTTAGCATGTGTTGGACAAATGTTAGATGTTATAATTTTAGTAATCTCTTATGTGTTGTTCGTCAAACAACATAAAATGTTTCTTTACATTTGTTGTACGTATTTTGATCGTCTTCGTGCATGATAAAATGTGTCACGTTTCTACAGACATATCCTCGTCAGTAACTGAACTTATGTCTGCTACTTTTCCTTTAGCCTGGACATAACACCAAATGCTCTTTCTGCCAAAGGTGTCAGGTTACTATTAACCTTTCCAGCGGTACTGTTGACAATATCAGGTGAGGTCAGCATGACCTACACTGGTAACATGTGAAAACAGGGTCATCAAATATGTCGTGATCTGTATTGTTTTCAGTATATTTTATCTGAAATGAAACGTCAAGCTATATTATTTCCTCAAATTATGCTTTCGTTCTCGATGTCTCGCTTAATGTTAATGTTGAGTGCAGGGCAGGGCAGAATATATAGGGGAGTGTTATAATACCTTTAAATCTGTTGTCACATCAATGACGTCAGGTGATGACAGTACATTATCAGCAGGTGAAGACTTTGGGAACCTATTCTTCCTTTTACAAGAAATATGGAGTTGATCCCATAAACATCAAGGAAGCAATGATAATGGATCATCATCATGGTAACCTGTCCTGGTCCTACAGAATAACGTTGTAATGGTGTATCCATATGTATATAAGTATACCAATTCAGTGATATATGCTAGACATTCTTCTTTGACGGTATAGCCGCTTCCTTCAGATTAATAGTTGTAAAATAATATGGTTAAATATTTGTATAATACTTAAAATCTTAAACGATATTATATGTTAAGTAGTGCTACATCTAAACTAAACCATTCATTCATTCATTCATTCATTCATCTTTGTTCATGGATCTATATTTCCTATACAACGATTGATACAATATTCGTTGAGGCACCCACGCAACTGTGCATTGTCAAGAAAACCTTGCGATGAAGCTTGATCATGACACACGTGCAACATTCCACGTGACTCACACAATATAATTACAGACTACAAAGAGTTCTGGTTTATTTTTGCTTTCAAATATTTTCAAAAAGAGAATCTTTGTTAAGTATGAAAGTAGGGAGGTGTTTTAAGTAAGTGAGTGAGAGAGAGAATTAGTTTTACGCCGCTTTTAGCAATATTCCTGCAATATCACGGCGGGGGACACCAGAAATGGGCTTTACACAATGTACCCATGTCGGGAATCGAACCCGGGTCTTCGGCGTGACGAGCGAACGCTTTAACCACTAGGCAACCCGACCGCCCCGTTTTAAGTAAGGGACTATCCTCGTAACTATTCCTTAGAAATAATTGTTCTCGTCCTCTGAGGGGCCTCGGTTCAATTACTTGTAAGGAATGGTAGAGTTACTCGGAAATTCCCCCTGCAACATGTTTATCTGATCGTTACAATCATGTTTGTTTCACTGAGATGCACAAGTACATTTAGTGAAACATAGGGTATGTGTTTGGTGTCTTCCGTCATCATGAGTACATGAAGTGAGCGAATATGTGTATGGGATCGATACTGTAAACTGTAAACATCGAGCTTCAATGAAAGGAGTTTTATTGCAATAAAAATGTAATAGAATACAAATAACATGCCATGTAAGTATAGAAACATAATAATCCACCATAAATATCCACTGTTCATCAGCCCCCGTTTCTAGTCTCATTATGTGTCAGAATCTGCACGCGAAAGAAGCCAAGAAACGTTTCACCGGAGCGGCATATTATGTGTGTCATTTGCATCACACCAAATGAATATATGTGTTCGTATAAGCATAATTGTTTATTCAATGAAAAATACTATTCAAATTATATAATTGTAGTATGTGGAAGGCCATCAAAACGTCGGCGTCAGTTATAACATCAACCAAGGTTATCAATTGCAGCAGGGCAGCGGGTGTAGCTATATAGTGAAGCATTATTTCGAACAAAAAACAACCACTTGCATTCAGTTCAAACTTATTGTTTGTGTGTACTGAGTCGGTAGACCACATGTATCAATAGCGCTTAAAGTAACATATATAGCATCAAGTTTCCGATATTTGGAATTCAAAGTCAGAGTCATCTCGTCGTCTTCTGTTAACAGCCTGTCGACAATTTCGGCGCCCCCAAGAACTGTTCCAACGTGAACTTCATACTTGAGGTCGTCCCAGGGTGAGGCGAACACATTCCGCCAGGAGACGGTCAGTTGGACTCCAGTTTTGACCACAGACAAATGACCAGAAGCTGTTGGAATATGTAAAATATTGTATATATTGACAGTAACAACCCACAAAGCAAACTTGAAGTTATAGGGTATCAACTTATTAACAACATGTATTTTATTGAAGTCCTACAGCATTGATTTCAATTACTAATACGAACGAAATGTGATAAGCCATTTGGTCAGATGATGCGCCTCACGACGGTTTTCGAGAAATATAATGTGAGACAAGTTCACAAATGCAATTGTTTGAGACATGAGAAGATACTTTACAGCTCTACACACACACCTGCTACCAGTGGGGAAACCCCATGCATGGTGAAGTTCAACAAAGTTGTTTCTCCTTTTGTTTCAAGTACATCAACAGGAAAGCTGAGGACATGATATGTCGATCCACTCTTTAGAGTTACACCCGACAGTGTGGCAAAGGTGTAGTCCAGATGGACGGGGACAACACTCTGCTGTGTCCGCTTCTCTCCCTCAATACCAATCTGAAACATCAGCAACTTTGAACAGTTCTAATGGAGCAACTACACATGTACACAGAGGTGCCATTATTGACGGTTTTCGTTTTCATGTATTTCGATCTCGAGATGACATTTCACATACCACAACTGTTTTGAAATTGCTGCCTGCTGCATCCCACCGGAGCCTGACTTTCTCCTGACTCTGGTGACACACATCCCGCTCACTGTACACCGATTGACTTTCTCTCAGGATACTGAAGCCTGGAACTGATGTTTGGTTCCTCGCCTGGATCACCTCAACTCCATCTGACGTCATGGCCGCCACCAGTCCTGCATTGTTAAAGCACCGGACTGTTGTGTAGACTGTCATGGACGATGTGTGGAGCTTAGAGCTGATGTCATGTTGAGCTGTGGACTGACCTGTGGACACCCTCTCAAACTGCTTTATGTCACTGCTGCCTCGTGTTCTCCCTTTAACATACGAAGTAAGTATGGTTTGACGCCTTAATTAATAGTCCAGTAATATTACGATTGTGACACCAGAAGTGGTCTTCACACATTGTACCCTACAGGGGTTTCGCCGTGCCATCATCTATAATAATAGTACACTCTTCAAAAAAAGAAACGCATAGTTAAAAAATAAGGATATTTATTAAGCGGATGTAAAAGTATCTACACAGAATATGCGTGAACACAATCAAATGAAATTAGACACAGTGATCGACAAATGCATTGTCGTCATTATCAGCATTAATTCAGTTCAGTCATTGCACATGTGTAGCCACAAGGGGGCGTCATGGTCAGTACCTGGTCACACCACCTCTTGCAACCGTCTCTGCTCGACACCTCTTTGGCACAGATTGCACAAGTCGTCGGAATTCTTCGTGGGGAAATCTTCGACATTCCTCATGTAAGGCCTTGGCGAGTTGTGCCAGTGTGTGGGGACGCTGGTGACGTTGACGGACGCGTCGATCAAGTTCGTCCCACAAATGTTCAATCGGGTTGAGATCAGCCGATTTTGACGGCCATGGGAGGACAATGATGTTCTCATTAACGTGCTGTGTGGGGCCGAGCGTTGTCATGTTGGAACAGCTCCCTCTGGCGGTCCAAAGGAGGCGAGGACGCAGAATTTGGTCTATGTATCGGTTTGCTGTAAGGTTGCCCTGGACAACCACCAACAGTAATCTACCCGTGTAGGATATGGCTCCCCACACCATGACACTCCCTCCACCAAATCGGTCCACCAGTGGAACGTAGTTCGGCGCAAAACGTTCATGTCGACGTCGGTATGCACGTTGTCTTCCATCCCGTCGTTGAAGAAGAAAACGTGTATCATCGCTGTACCAAACGCGTCGCAAGTTCCTGAGATCCCATGCCTGTATACTGTTGCACCACCGGAAACGTCGTTGACGGTGTAGACGTCGCAAGACAGGTCCAACTTTTGGTCGTCTTGCTCGAATTCCCACTTCCCTCAGACGATTTCTGATGGTTTGGTCGGAAATTCTTCGCATACCAGGCACTTGTCCTGCAGTGTCCGTTGCTTTAGCAAATCGATTCCGAAGGTGACGCAACCGGATGTACCGACCCTCAGCAGGGGTGGTCTCTCTTAAGTCTTCCACTTCTGGGTTGATCTTGAGTCGAATTAGTGCGGGTATATCGATCCCATAGTCGAGATATGGTGCTTTGGTGAACGTTGAAGTGTCTTGCAACGGCAGACTGGGACTCCCCTGCTTCCAAACGTCCAATGGCGATATTTCGGTCAGCTGCTCTTAATCTTGGCATTTTTCGATCTCCGTTCACGTCAGAAAACTCGTAATGAACTGATGAATTTTGTACCGTCTTTTATAGTCAATGTCTCTACTCTTGTTTCGGGTAGCCTAGTGGTTAAAGCGTGCGCTCGTCAAGCCGAAGACCCGGGTTCGAATCCAGACATGGGTACAATGTGTGAAGCCCATTTCTGGTGTCCCCCGCCGTGTTATTGCTGGAATATTGCTAAAAACGGCGTAAAATCAAACTCACTCACTCACTCTGACACTTTGCACGTGTATTGTGCTGAAAACTTGTTTCTGAAAGCAATTTCCGTGCATCCTTTGCATTTTTGCTGATAAACGTTTACAAAAAACATTTTGAGATGTGTTTGCGCACAATGCACAACAAACATGATATGATTAACGGGAATCAAACATAAGAAATGTGTCTACGATTGCTGGGAAAAAATAATCTAATTGGAGTTCTGAAAACACCTATGCGTTTCTTTTTCTGAAGAGTGTATAACGATAATAACCGAAGAAGGGTGATTTTGGAATCAAAGAAACATATCTACTATCTCACAGCTGCTTCGTGTTCTCCCTTGTTCGTAAACAAGAGTCGTATCATACATACAAAATGCAATTTGTTTTGATATAAATGAATATAACATTGAAATGACGACATTACAATATATACAATGTTCAATTGTCTCCCTTTAAATCAGATCCAAATCACAAATTGTGATTTTGTAAAGTTTTTGGGATCTGAATACACGATAGATCTATGAAGTACAATGTAAATTTAACCGGTGATACTGGTTGGTGCAAAACACCTGCTTATTATCATTGTGATCTGCAAATATCAGGGTTACGGTCAAATATTTATCCCAGGATATAGCAGTCGTAATAAACGTTATATTGTCTGCATTGTGACAACATGATGTTTTCTATCAGAAACTGACCTGTCGAAATGCCAGTGCATGAGCCACTACCAAGGATCTTTCATTCCATCCTCCACGCGTCAAACAAAACAGAAAAACGCAAACTTTTAATTTGTTGCCATTGACATTAACTACATACCGATAGCCCAGTCGCAGTGTTCTACACCTGATTCTTCATCTCTTGCTTGCCAGTAGACACCTACCACAGCTGATGTCTGATAGTCTTCATCTGATCCTACAGAAAGCAAACCGATAACACTCATGACAATGCGTTTTACCATGAAGTAGTTGAATTACTATATCATCATATACTATAAAATCGTCTAATTATTGCATTTAATGCAACTTCAATACCTCAAGAGAGGATGTAAACCTGCAGGTTATTTTTAATTCAACTACGATTTCAAGTTTACCATCAAGCCCATCACTGATGAAGTCGAACTGTGGTGCGGTCATGTCTACTGTGATGGCATCAGAGAATGTAACTGTGGACAGCCCCGCGGCATTCGTTGCCATGACAGTAATGTAAACAGTAGCACCATGGGACAGTTGCAAGTTAGATAGTGTTCCCTGGGTTTCTCTCCCTACGTCCGTGTAGCCCTGTACATGTGTACCACCTGGAACTGTGCCTGAAAGATCATGACCTTTCGACTCGACGAACGCACAAATGAATTTAGAATGTGATATGATAAGTATATATATATATGTAATGATATATATGATGCTATGATGTCAAATACACTTCTATATATGGGAAGAATGTTCTCTCCTTTTAGATCATCAGCGCATAACTATTATGATGTGACATCATTATTTATTAATTATTATTCCCATTCTAGTTATTACACACCAAGGAAACATATAAGCTAAGCTGAAAGACAGTTCCCGTGCATCACTGACAGTGTCAACATGTTATCATGTTATCATGTCATCATTACACGGTGGTACATATTATATTTCAAAATCTATAGACGTAAGGAAAAGAACTCTAATTACCGATCGCCCACTTGTATTGTGTGATTGGAGACTGTTGGTCCACAAAGTGCCAGGAAGCATGTAGAGATGACCAGTGAGACAGGAACACAGAGTGGACCACCAGATGTTCCTCCGTATCCACACTGTCCGGACCAGCAACATAGTCCACAGTCTGAACACTCACATGGTCCAATACAAACTCCATCATCCTGGACGATGACGCTATCTTCAGTACTGCACTTGTATCTACGGCTGTGAACCTGTATGTGTGTTTGTTCCAGAGGACGACTGAGTGATCTCCGACACTGCAGGTGCCTCTACAGAGGTTAGGGTCAAGTGTAAAGCTGAAGACTTCACTGCCTATTGTAACTATTGCATCAACCGACCTGTGGTTGTTGGAAACAGTTTCTGGGTATCCAGCATGTAGAGTCAGCTTGTACTGCCTCCCAGTCTCAAGACCAGAGATCCTTTGGTGAATTCTCCCACTGATGGACACAAACATATGTCCGTCTTTAGCTAAAGGTGATCCGGGCGCCAGAACCTTTACACAGGACGTTGTGTCAGTTTCCCACGTTGTCGGTATAACAAGGTTGCAGCGTGTGGAATTACCAGGAATATCCTCAAGCTCGAATGATGGGTTCTTCACCAGGTTGTCACCCAGATACGCCAGAGCCTGACGTTCAGGTGGAGATGCATCAATAACGACTCCATCAGATACAACTATATCCGAGGTGTAACCTACAGCATCCACAGCATACACCTTGTTCCATAATCTTGTACCTGAAAATATAGATGATGTGATCAGTATTACCGTATATCTAACATAAGTGGCATTTAAATATAATGTTCCTATGCATATTCACTAACCATTTACGAATAGAGAAGAAAGCGACCTCCTAGAAGATGTGTGCAGTCCAACATCAATCCAGTCCATCACACTGCAGTCTGTAGTGTCGTTGACTGTTCCCACACACCAGAAATACTTGGCAATGGAGGAGTCTGTGTCAGAGAATCCGTACCAGGAGGCGGAGATTTCATCAGGAGATCTCTGGTAGTCCAAGTCATGAACATCTACATCAATATAATGTAATATTTCTTGTAAATGATACAATTTATATCATGCATTAATAACATACTTGGAGAGAGGGGGCACAGGTGGCCCAGTCGCCCAAGGCGCCGTGATTCGCTGTGCAGAGTTGCGTCCCTTGGGCACGCCGATTATGTTTCTAGGTTTGTCAGCACTATACCCGTGCACGTGGGTTTCCCCGAAATGGTAAGCGTCTGAGACTCCTCGGGCTTTCCTCCCACATTAAGCTGACACGCCGTGATATAACTGGAATGATGTTAAAAGCGGCGTTAAACCCAACTCATTCACTCACTGAACTGAACAAATGTTTTCTCATATTACGAACCTGGTCCATCTTTCACTCTGCCTGTCACTGGAGGCAGAACGTCCACCTGTACTCCATCAGAGTAGGCCCAGCTGACCAGACCAGCCTTGTTGTAAGCTAGGACACTGGAGTAATAGACTGTGTTTGGATGTAGACTGAGACCTGTTGCTGTGTAACTGGTGGTGGTCAGGTCCCCTGAAGCGTGGATACTGTGACCTGAATTGTATAGTTCATAACAATATGTTATTCATCTTGTAAGAATAAAGCCTTTCTCTTCGTTCAATTCAATTTCACTATTAAATCAGTTGAATACAATTATACGAACAAATCAATAATGTGGAAAATGTAATGATCCAATACCTCCCGGTACTGTGCTGATGAAGATTCTGTATCTGTTGATGCCGCTCTGGCCCTGAAGGAACTTGCCACTCCACTGGATAAATAGAGTTCCATTCTGTGTCTGGAAGTCTGTGTCTTTGGTCTCAGTTGGATGTACAAGCTCCTTTACCTGTGGTAAACAAAGCAGTGTTCAACCGACATACATCCATTCACTCACTCCAAAGTTATAGCCGAGCCCAACTGTAGATATAAAAGAATAAAACAATTACTTACAGCGTTCCCCGTTTTATCTGTTACTGTAGGTGGTGCTATTTGGATGAGGACGCCATCCGATTTGAAGATGATGTAGGTTTCGTTATACCACGCCCTCACAAAGAAGGAATATTTCACTCCAGATGTCAGAAACCTGCCTGCAAATCATTGTTTATTATACATTGTTTTAATTCAATTTGCCTGTTGAAATGATATAATAAATGATGTATTAAATACATTGATACACACTTGAATGCCAATATACCTTAAACACGAGCACGTCTTTGTCGCGTAAATAACTACCAAAATAAATATACGATGCATTCTCACCTGTAGGTAATGGCAAAATAGTAGATGTTTGTTGACCTGCATCGAACCAAACTCTTTCTGTCGCGGTATAAAACACACCGCCTGGCAACGAACCACCACTCTCTCCTATACTGTATTCATATCTGTACAAAAGGAACATTATATAAAATATATTATATCTATTAGGATGTATTTTCTGATCCACATATTTATTTACTTTACACAGTATGCATCATGTATGTCTGGAAACACCAATTACCGCGTAACAGGCGATCCTCGTGACGAGTCAGACCAGGTGGCGGCCATCACAGTGTTGAACAGACTGACGTCGACGTCATTAGAACCCCCCGGGGACATGAGGTCAACAACGTCGTTGATAGTGATGTTTATCTTTGCTCCACCTACATGCAAAAAGGATTAAATTCCATTCATATCCTAACAAAAGAGGTTGATGAAGAACATGTAGGATTTTAGCAGTTAACCCATTTATTTCTTCCCCCATCCTCCTGTTTCTGTAAACATGTTACGTGTTGTGTACACTCGTCACTGGACATATAGCTACTAGAGCCCTGAATACAATGGAACAGTGTGAAATGTGATAGTTCTACTACCAAATGAGTAAAGTGAAACATTAAGGCTCATCATCAGTCCAATTGCTGTTGACAAACCTGTTTTGTGTTGTGTACATGCTTTACTGGGTGAACAAGTACCACCCTGCACAGCACAGACACAGTGCCCCTCACAGTTGTAGGCCTGGCACCTCCTCACCAGCCACAGAGAAGAGTCCGCCTCCAGGACCAGTTCAGCGTGGTAGGCATCACTCTGTAGACCAACCTAGGAACAACATCAGAAGAACACTTAAATTCTTCATGATGATGTCTTAACTATATTTTGTATTGTTTATACTAAGTTTTAACTTGACAATACATTTGATATATTTGCGCTGGGTCACACTGATGAAGATGGTGTTGCAAGAAATAACTATCTGTACAGGTCGTGTATTTCAGATCACATCGAAAAAATATATATGTATATATATATGAGCAACAGTGGATACAATCATGCATTGATTACGGCATATCTTCACTTCAAAAATGTCTTAGGATAGTGTCAAAGTACCTACCCCATTTACACCCCAGATAGCTAAAAACACAGATCCTGACGACGGCAGGTTCAGAGTGGGTATTGTAAAACTTTGAAGAATTCCTTCATCGCCCCTGTCCACGCCCGTGGTACTGTGGAAGACCTTTTCTGGTAGTTTGCCCTACAATAAATACACGTTTATGCATGTACAAGGCATATCAATTCTTTTCACCTTGAACAATGGCACCGTACGACACTGTGTGTGTGAACTACCAACTTCTATTTATGCATCATGCAATCATAGTTTTAGTTTTAAGAAGTATCTCACGGTATTGAAGTCTGTTCCGAATGCTTGAGATCCTACTGATACAAGGTAATGGTCTATTCCAGAATGTAGATCAGAGAAGCCAAGCCAGGCAAGCTTTAGACTGGTCCTGTTCCATGTCATCCAATCTGGATGATGACGTGAGAGTTTCACTGCGTGGTCAGTTTCTGTGGCAAATGTACCTGCAGAGGAAATAATAGCTACACTTTCATCATCATCACCAGCAGCATCATTATACAATTTTACGACCGCCTCCGTGCTCCTGTGGTAGAGCGTCTGCCCGGGGAGCGGAAGGTCGGGGCTTCGATCACCAAAGGACGTTTACATATGGTACCTGTTGAACCCCTGTCTGGCGCTCGGCATTAAGGGGCAAGAACAAGGACTGGTCGGCTCGGAGTCAGTGTACTACTGTGAGTGAGGTATTTATGTTTAAATACGGCATGGTATTTCAATGGGCGAGCGCTATGAAATTGGCATTTGTCCGGACTAGCACAAGCAGCCACACAAGTGCAATAATCTGAATCGTGATGTTAAACCACATTTCACCTTACCTATACGATTTCTCATTGCAATAAGATTAGCGATCTGTTCATTGTGTCCGTAACACAGTCATACCTGTTTTTGGTTTAGAGCTGTCAACCAAAATGTTATTTGTATTTGCTGATGCACAGAGACCCGCCATGTTGCATGCAGTAACCTTCACCGTGTATCTACTGCCATCATGCAAGTCCAGGTTCACGATGGTGTATTCTCGAAGTAAACCTGGTACCTGGATTAAAACGAACATGGATGAATATATAAACATGTAGTATTTCTGTGTTGAAAGACATTATGTACTGGTCACCACTCAACTTGGCATTCCCACAGGACGTGATGATTAGCTATAGACGGCACACTGTATACCGATAGCTGAATGGCAAATATGTTCATGACAAATACAGCGTTATGTTTATACTAATGTGTTATTTATGTGTCTAATGATATCAAGCACACTGAAAATAGTTTTCTGTTTTCAATTGCTTCCAAATATCAACAAACATGTGCAATTTGCATCATGTTTCAAATTATATCTCTATGTTCTTTTTCCATAAATGTCTTCATCTCACAAGCAATTCATATACAAACGCTGTGTATATAGAACATGTTTTCTCAAGAACATAAAACATCCGATCCAAGAGTCTTATCTTCCCAAGTCAAATTGAAAAAAAACAGAGCGAGAAATCAGAAACATCACTGGATGGCATTTTTGTCAAATCAGTTAATAATGTGTAGAAGATAACCTTACCTCTAAATTATAACTATTTATCTCTCCCAGCTGGTGCGATGATAAGGAGAGGTAATGGCGCTTCATGAAGGAATCAGCATCCTGGAACTCCCAGTGTAAACCCAGAACTGTCCGACTGACTGTCGTGTTCGGAACAAGGGACATTAAACTTTTCACTGCCGGTCGCGTGACTACAATGGGGGCACTGTCATCCACTAGTACCCCATTAGACGTCGCCTCTGAGTACAGTCCTGAAACATGATGTATTATAATTATGTGTGCCAAGATTCTAAGACACCCTGCAACAACTACAGAATCGACTGCTTATTTGAAACTAAATCATCATACCTCCTTTGTTGAACGCCCGGACAGTGTTGTACAATGTCAGTCCTACGGGCAGCTGTTGATTATGTGGTATGGTGTGAAAGATGACCTCGCCCAAGGCTGCATTCCTGGCTGCAAGAATATCGTCAGCTCCGGGTTCTGTCCCTACAAGCCATTCGTAGTGGTCTAATCCTGATTCAGGGTCGCTAAAGCCTCGCCACTTGCACCCGATGAATGTCCTTCAATGCATAACAACTTTCTGCAGACACTGCATAGCTCAGTGAAAATCATTGATATGACCGGGCAATGCAGAACTAGATCATCTACAGTAATCTGGAAAAGATGCTTTATTCTAAAAAACAAATGTTCCTTCTCACCTGGCCGCCTGAAACTGTATGTCCACGTCGCCTGTGCCATCCTGCACTGTGCCAGTAACTGGCGGGGAGCTGTCCAGGATGACACCGTCTGAGGTGGAGGAGCTGCTGCAGAGGCCTGCCGTGTTACAGGCTGTCACTGTGGTGAAGTACTTCACTCCGGGGGAGAGCAGGATGTGCTGGAGGCTGATGTCTGAAATTGAATCATGGCGATATATATTCCTCAGATTTCAAAATACCCATAATTTAACAGGAATTATGAACAGCCCTCACATTGCTTTAATCCTGTCTTGGACTCATTCATTGTGTCATCACAGCCTGCGCAGGTCCCGACCTTGACCGTGTACGTGGCAACACTTGAATGTGGGTCATCAAAGCCTTCCCAGTAGGCCCCCATCTCTGAGACACTGGTGATGTAGTCCTTGTCTTTGTCACCAGGTGTGGCAGCTGATTGTACTCCGTCAAAGACATGGCCAGTAGATGGAGGCGTGGTGTCCACAACCAAAGGCCGTGACGAGGACATTGTGTACAGACCTGCACCGTTGAAGGCCTGGGAGGAGGAAATAAGTGAATAAATTAGTGGTTGAGGCCTTCCGATCATTTCTTATTTAAGATTAACAAGTTTTCACTTGTACTTTAATCAAAGAAGAATGTCTAGATCTGTTCTTAAATGAGACAGATGATGAAGCTACAATCCGGCAAAGGATTTATCTCGTAGTTTTTTATTTATATATTCGACTTCGATATGCATGCTTCATAGAGAATAGAAACGTTCAAAAGCTACCTTCACAGTGATATAATAAGAGTGACCATCCTCTATTTTGTTAAGTGTGTTAATGTCCAAACACTCCTGATCGGTCGTTATGTACTCGGAAACATCTGCATACGCATGCCTGGTACCCATAGCAACAGTGTATGCCTCAGTTCCACTTTCTTCGTCTGAGAAAACGTTGTTCCAACTGTGGGATATAAATAACGCTATACAAGTTTCAGGAAATAGATGTCCAATGTCAAAGATTACTGCAATCGATCAGTATTTTCCTCGTACTGGATGTGAAAGGCAAAACTTGCGTCATCTTTATTGCATGCTTTGTCCTTCATTAAAGTTAAATTAGAATCTGATTGTTTTCAATTTAATGTTGATTGGTCTTATACATAATTATCGGTGAATATATATTATGCCAAAAAGGAAGTTGAAATGTTTTGTAAAATTATTATTCTGAACTTTATGTTTTTACAAATCAAGAGTTATGCATGTAAGGCAAATGTTTTTATGTATATACAAGCATAGTTATTCTTATGTCTTGTGTTCATTAACAATGTACGTATCCAAGATTGAAAAAGAAAAGACACTTGCAGTGAGGATTTCACATCAATGTTATTGCATTGATCTGGTCAAACACTCATGTAATATGTTTATTAAATGTTAATCATGTCTGTACGATCATGTTGCCATAGTAGTATCAAAACGACGGCCTTCTTAACTAATGCAAAGTTGTAGAAAATGGCAGTTGTACCTCAATCCTTAGTAGTTCAGAGACATTGTAGTTTCTGTTAATTTAGGTAATGTTAAACAAATCCAAATAGACCTATCAAGAACACATGCAACTTATATATGTAGTGTACGAATATATTACAAATGTAATTCTTGACAATTAGAGAAAACAATTATTAGACATATCCTCATAAATGAAGATAATTTTCTTATAAAACAACATGATACTATCAACTGATCCTGTTTTCCTTCTATGTGTTCATTGAAAATACTTTTAGTTTACTCTGTCAACAGTACCAAACATGTATAAGATGTGATGTAATGTATCGTTCCTCCACTTGTATGTGTTGTCCAGTTAGTGCTGGAGGTGTGGAGTCGACAAGGAAAGCCCCTGATACAGCAACTGTTGTTTTGTTCACAAAATCTGTTGCTGAAAGAAATATTGTAAACAGATAAGACAGCATCTTTCACACACAGAATTCACTCAATGTATTCCCAACATTGGTTATTGATAGGTCATCCCATGAGTGAAGGTGACACGTATTGATTCACTGGTGTCACCCATGTTAGAGTTTGAGTGATAGTTGTCAATATTGTCACAATAACCACATATTCATTTTTTTTCAAACCAGATAAACAAGGTTATACTTTGTCTACTGTCAACATACCTCTCACAGAGGCATAGTGTGTACTTCCGGTCTGCAGATTAAGTCTGTGTAGAATATACTTGTTCACAGATCCAACAATAGTGTGGGTAACCACATCTTGTCCACCAGAGATGGTACCTGGAGATAGAGAATGAAAGACATTTATCTACTCTATCAGGAATGTAATCCCTGGTAGTTAAGATAGTTTGGGAATATATATATATATGTGTGTGTGTGTGTGTGTGTGTGTGTGTGTGTGTGTGTGTGTGTGTGTGTGTGTGTGTATTTGATGTTGGAGGCATTAATAAAACGGAAATGAGTTCACTGAATTGGTTGGTTTATTACCTATAGCAACTTCGTAATAGGCAATCCCAGTAGTGTGAGCAGAGAAACTGTCCTCTTCCACATCAGTAAAACGTGTCCATCTGATCGCAACTTCTGTCCGGCTGACCTGAACATGTTAAATGCTATTGAATACCAGTACTATGTCAGAGTAAAGGTGCGGGTAGAACGCCTGGATGTCCGCTCAGTGGGGTTTAAATGATCATCACCATTTAGCCGAGTAGTTTAACCAGGGGTCCCAAGCACCTGACTCTTTTGAACTACATCTTTTTAATAAAAAACATTAGCACATCGCTCTTTGGCGATAAGGGTAATGAAATGTATGTATTCAAATTCCAGCAAATATATAATTTAATTACGATTTGCCTTTATCGATTGCCCTATTTCTCGAGAAAAGAGTAATTGTAACTGCCAAATTACTTTCAATTTACAAAAAAAACCCGCTCATAACCGGATTAACTGTTAATCTTGTTGGTAACTCTGCCATTGATTCTTCCATGTACCTCCATATAATTTCTGCTCTATGTCCCCATGGGAGAAGAATACATTCGTTCTCAAGTTCTCGGTGATGTTTTCGAATCCTGCTGGCGACAGGTGTTTTCCGTGAAATTGTTCTGGTATCACGGCATTTGGTAGAAAGATGTTCCAATATTGCCAAGTGGTCTCACACTAACAATTCAGTTTGCTAACGCACAGTCAAAATGAAAGGCACCATGGCTTATAAGAACCTAACATACCTGGAAAGTCCCCTCTGTAAGGTTTTCAACCTTCACTGTCCCCGGTGTAGGTGGAGTAAGATCGACTGTGATGCCGTTACTGCAGGCGTTCACTTCAGTCAGATATGACGTCCACTTCTCGAAACGAGAGTTCTTCTCATCGGCGTGGATGCACACATAAAATCTCTTGCCATGTTTGAGGTAGGACAGCTCTGCAAACTCGACGTTGATGAACTCGTTGACTGGTAAAAAGCGAACGACAAAGGTTTGAGTGAAAAACAGAATCATCTTAAACATCAACACTGCCCGTGTATGAATAATCGTTAATACACACACTCACCTGTGTGTCCACACCTGATGACATCTGGCATGCTACAGGGATCAGTGACGGTCATCAGACTCTCTCTCTTGTAGTGAGATGAGGGGTCCACCTGGTCACCTGACACCACTGCCCACGTGTAGTTCCTGTGACGTAGAGTCGGCCACACAGCAGACAGGATGTTCTTGTATGGGGTGTAGTCAGCATCATGCCAGTGACTATTCTGTTCTAGGCTTATTCCATGACCGACATCTTCTTTGAGCTCCCCTGTAATCAATAATTAAGGTACTCATGCGATGTTACACTGACCGAATATACAATTTATTGGCCATAAATTATATATTTAATGAAGTACTACTATTTTCTGGAAACTCAGCATAACTACTTACCGATAACATCTAGGACAATTGCGGACACGATATTTGGAGGATCATATGCTGTACAGTCTTTGACATCCGCTGACACGATCGTGTATAAGCCAGCTTGGTTGTAGCCCCTCACTGACACTCTTCTGCACTTGGTAAAGTCGAGATGCTGGGGTAGGGTTATCTGGAACTTGATCTGAGGAAAACAAATCAAATGAAGATGCATGTTCATAAAAAGATAATTAGTTAATTTCAAGTGATGAAATACTGTCCACACAAATTGAAAATCAGTGTGTACCTTATCAATGCCTCCGCTGAAAATGGTTTGTTCATCCACCTCCTGCCAGTTGATGAACATGTTGTTGTTGTGGCTGTTATCTGTCAGTCCCCACTCGTATCTGTCCATGACGTCATAGGCTTCTGATAGAACCGGTATGTCCGGATCACGGAACCGAGACATCATCACCTGGATCTAAAAACGGATCAAATATACAGCATATTAAAATAGCACTTTCAGGGTTGAAAGAAACGGAACGCTAGTAGCATGTGTAACTTGCCTGTGCTTGTCCATCTACAGATTCACGGTACGTCAGAGATATATTGCCTGGTGTTGGGGGATGCGGTATGACAGTCACGCCGTCACTGTAGATGGTTTTAGAACATACGTTAACAACACAGAACTTGAGAGCAGCTCTGTATGTATTCCCTGCTTCTAGAGATAAACCGCCAATTACAACCATCTCAGATGATCCAAGAGGCTCAAAGGCTCGTTCAGTGTCCCATAAGTCTTCTGTGAGAATAAAAACGGAATGGTATAAGGATAATGGTATGTACTATTCAGATATTCGTTATGCGTGTACTTGAAAATCATAACATTAATCACCATATTTTATAAGATGCATGCACTGAATGTTTAATGGCTGTTCACTTACAATAAGTCTGTTTTGACATTTACAATGTTGATTTGCAAGCTCTCCGGTGTAGAAGAAAGTAAATCATACATAAACAATGTCCATTTCAATACTGCCGACATTTGATACAGTTTAAAGCGTTATTCGGGTAAATCAAGAAGTGAAACTGTTTTTTATAGTAATAGACCTAATGTCAACCGCGACAGTGTATGAGATGCCATAGTTATGTTGCGATCATTATTTACCAGTTCGAGCAACTTTCTTTTGCAAACTCCACTTGGCATCAGGATAACTGAGCCAGTTGCTTCCATTCCAGCGGGCCGCATATGTTGATGTGGACACTTGATATATATCATCTCGTGAACAATTCTGTGTAAACAACATGGATACATTTGTCATGTCACAAATAATATCACAAGTGTGGTGACGACGGGGATGAGAGGCTTTCAGTTTTATATATCATCAGCAATATTTATATCAGCTATATAGCTATCAAGCTATCCAAACAATATTTTGAACAACGACATAATTACATGAGTGTGAAAAACGCACCAGTTTGCATTTTCAAAGAGACCGGGGGAAATACGCAAAGTTAATACTGACTGAAGTTCCGTAAAATCAGTATTAGCCACATATCACAATACCTTCTGTAGTGACACTGTTCGTTGGTGCTTTTCGCGAACACCTGGTATCATCGCTATTTCATAGTAATTCATATACGCATACTCGTGATATAGTCGGAGTTGTACAATCGACTCTGCTTTTGGTAGATATTTCTTATGAATGCGAAAAGGGTTTTATCGCTTTTATTCGGAGGGATACAGTGCCTTCAACATTTAGTGTCGTGTTGATAAGCTAACGTGTTGACATAACGTCAAAGGATGATAGACTGTGGCGTGTTAAAAAAAATGTGGCGCATAAAATCTTTAATCACATATGCGATTGGTATGGAATCTTGCATATTTCACCTCGCTTACATCGAGTCATAGGCATAGTAACATCATTTTTAGCAGCTAAGCTCGGGCACTGCAAGCTCTGTCCTGTCCTATGTAGATTTTACACACAACAGAATCAGTAAAGAGAATATCACCGTGCACGCACCGTCTGGTTCACTGCACTTCGCAAAGCAACCGTAACTGAAATGAAAGAAGACAAAATGCTATGTGTGTGTGGTTAGTTAAGTACCCTTATACATGTATGTAAACTGTTACCTGCCTTGCAATCATTATACAAGGGTGTTAAGTGCAGTGTTCGAGTGAATGGTTTCTTTACTTCCTGGTTCACGGTAAACCGTGGCTTAATTAAAACAGGGGTGTTTGTTATCTCCCTTGCTTTTTAACTTGTTCATAAATGATTTATTATATACTCTCAACAGTCTTAATATTGGTGTTACTGTAGACAATTTTAATATTGCAGCATTAGCATATGCAGATGATTTAGCATTGCCAGCTGAGAATGAAGCTGATCTCAGTCTACTGTTAGATGTTTTACATACTTGGTGTTGCACAAATAAGATAGAGATCAATAAGGAAAAGTCTAAAATTGTCCATTTTAGAAATCCGTCTGTCATACAGACGAAGCATGTTTTTAATGTCGGAAATATGATTTTAGACATTGCTGCTAAGTATAATTATCTTGGTCTACTGTTCACAGACCACTTAGATTTTACTGCAATGGCACGTTCAGCAGGGAAGTCTGCTAATAGGGCTTTGGGCCTGTTGATATCCAAAGTTAAGACAATAGGCGGTATGCATTTCCAAACCTATTCCAAATTGTACGATAGTATGGTGTGGTCTGTTCTTGACTACGGGGCGGCTATCTGGGGTAATTATGATGTGTCAGCAATAAATGCTGTACACCATAGAGCCATTAGATTTTATTTGGGAATCGGCAAATACGCCCCTAACGTCGCTATAAATGGGGACATGGGATGGATACCGCCTGTTATCAGACAGTGGAAAAGTGTAGCACGACAATGGTGTCGCCTTAAGAATATGTCTAGTAGGTTAAACAAACACGTGTTTAACTGGGCTGATAGATACGCTCTAAATGGTTGTAAAATTTGGAATGGTAGAGTAAGAAAGAAGTTTACTAATATGGATTCAGGACATCTATTAAACGCTACAGGTTTTATTGATAAATTTTCTGTTTATACACAGGCTGAACAATGGTGTAAACATGAATATGTTACCCGTTGGAGTGATATGTTAAGAAAGGAAGAGGGGCGAAATGGGCTTAATAAATTGAGAATGTATCGATGTTACAAACAAGTATATGGGACAGAATACTATGTTTCAAATAAGATGCCCAGAAACTATAGATCGGCACTAGCCAAGTTTAGATGTGGCGTGGCTCCTATTCGAGGTGAAACCGGTAGATACGAAGGTGTACCTGTCAACAACAGGAAATGTTTTCACTGTAATGACAGCGTAGAAGACGAGGTCCATGTTTTGTTTCACTGCGTATTATATGATGATATCAGGGCAACTCTTTTTAATGAATGTATTGCTAAATCTTATAATGTTTTAGATATACCTGATATCGACAAACTTTGTTTAATTTTCAGTGACTCCAGTGTGTGTTTTATACTTGCCAAAGTCTGCTTTTTAATTCTTAATCGTAGAAAACATCTTTTATATGGATAACTTTTTACTATATCATCTTTATATCATTTATGTATAAATTCTGTGATAATTCGTCTCTCATAATTCTATTGAATGGTTCTGTACATTTTATCTATGTCAAGTTGTACAAAGCTGTTTTATGTATGTACAGAATTGAGACGTTAATAAACTATTGTCTGTCTGTCTGTCTGTCTGTCTGTATTTGCAAATTCAACTGATAGAGAACCGTGTGCAAAGCTTGAGGTTCCAGTGGATTTTATCTCCCAAAATATTCGAGATCTGTAAAACATCATGCGTTTTTCACTATTTTATAAATGTATCATTCTTGATATACATTAAAATGAACTTATAAAGTGACTATTGCTAATTATAAAGTTAACAACACTTATCTTTAGAAGAGACTTTTCTGCAGCTTACAAACAGTCATGGCTTTATTCATTTCTCCTCGAAAAGGTTAGAATTACATATTAAATGTATGTTATTAGTTTTGACTTCATATTCCTGATCATTATCATGATGTTAATGCATTAGAAGTAACACAAACTACAATACTACATTTCAGAATTATGTACATGCGACATTTTGAACACAACTTTTCGTAATTCATGATAACGACAACTAATACCAGAATCACCGCATCCTGGCCCGTCTCTGACAGTCACATCTGTGACATCAACATCTGGCCTGATGATCGTCACGCCGTCAGAGGACACCGTCATCTCTCCTCCACCTCCAGCCGCCACGACAGTCACAAAATACTTCTGAAATTTTCCAGATGCACCATTTTCACGTACATATATTACAGTCAATGTACAAAAATCAGTCAATGTAAAACATGACTAACATTTTCACTTATTCAATCAACACAAACGCAATTGTCAGTTTACAATTATTTTCCCGTCAAAATGACTAAAAGTTATTAAGGAAATCAAATGGGCTTTAAACACATCACAATAGATTAGTTATGGTAGGGGAAGAAGCCAAATAAAATATAAATATACATTGACTTACGTTTTATTTTAATCCTATCAGCTTCGTTCACTGGGTGATGAAATAGTGCTTAAAATGTTTGGAATGTACTAAAATAATATAACACAAGAACAAAGAAATGTAAAATGACTGAAATATTTTGTCGTTTTAAAAATTGCCTAAGGTTTCAGTCAGTTTACACATTGACTGTAACACATGTACATGTTGCAATCCTGTATAAAATAGAAAAAGCAATGTGCAGGTGTTTCAATGAAATACTTCATATTGATATTGTGACTTTACCAACCTTTTTTTCATGTAGGCCCAAGCCAGTGAAAGAATGAAAGGTTGTGTTTCCAACGTCCACATGTTCCTGAATGTCTGTTGCAAAAGGTTGAGACCCAATTCCAAGTTTGTACGTGATGGCAGTTATTCCATTGTCGAATCCATACCATCTAGCTCTTAAAGTTTGTGTTGATATTTGGTAGTCAGTGTCGTCCATACCCTGAAAGCAAAGATATATATATGCCATGGCACACAAACATGATACACTGATGTTTTCAAGAGAATATAAAACAAACATCAAAAAGTTGCAGCCATTTTCTTACAACAATAAATCTAAGTGACATACGTCTATTCTAAAATCGTCTCAGCTAAAGTTTTCGCCAGTTCCACAAAGCGAACTTAGGGAGATTACAACTTTACTAGTTCTTAAGTAGCGGATCTTAACTAAGATCGGAATCTTCAACAACTGAAGATACGAAAGTTGCCACTGGAGTGGCCTCTCTTCATCAAGTTTAGTCGACGACGCATTATCGAAAATGCCCGAATCGCAGACCTGTGTCGGCGTCAAACGTGTTCGTCGCAGCAACTTCCTAGCATGCGAGATCGCTGTCCTGGTTGATGAGGTGGCTGTTCATCACACTAACAGAGCTTCATCGGCTCTACCGTAACTATAAGCTGAAAGGCAGCGTATGGGTCAACGCAGTCCCGTAAACGTCACCCAACTCAACGGAAAACCGCCCTTGCCTTACTGGTGACGGTTCATTGCTGGCTGGTGTCTCCTGATGCTAGTGGCCCCTTGTAGTTTTCTTTGTGGCCTGTGGTAGACAGGACTTTGGTGGCTTCCCACATGATGTTATGGTCTTGATTCTTGAGAAAAAGCAGATTTCAGGTCTAGTTTCAACGAGATTGTTTATCGGTAAATGAAACTCACGGCCAATTCTCAAACAAGGGCGTTCGCCTGAGTTTACTTGCAATTGCCACATTCGGGTGCATCAATATTACAATCTTAAAATTATGAATGTTATCCGATTTGGTTACACTGTGTGCAGAAATAAGAACGTTGTAACACTTTGCATACACTGTCTACGTTTTTGAAACCGTGACATCATCACAGTGCGGCATTGCGCGGTAAACAAAGCCAGCTGACGACCAGGCACCATGAGGGTTAAGATCGATTTTAGCGATCCTAAGTTGGTCCGGATAAACTTACCATTTTGATTTTAACTTAAACTCTCTTCGTTAAGATTACTTTGTGGGACGGGCGTCCGATCGTAATAAACAATTTAAGATCGCGTACGTAGTTACAATGAGCTAGGCCCAAAGATCGCTTTGTGGAACGGGGCCGCTGCTTAGCATAACACAAAACATACATCAGTCAAAGTTGTACTTTTGATACATTTTCGTCTTTGTATTTGACGTATTGAACAATCTCCAAATTTGTATAAATATGGGAAATACAAAATATGCAAACGGAAAATAATGGAATTTTAAATATATGTACTTATATGTAATCAAGATACAGTGCCCTTTCGTCAGTAAAATAATCCCACAAAACAACCAATTAGTGGAGTACACAGTGTTGTGTCCAAGGCTTTTGTTACACAAGCTTACAATCAGGCCTCTCGTGAAATGACTTCTCCATAGCTGTAATCACTGACGTTATACATAAAATGTCCATCATCGATACAATGAAAGCTGTAAGTATTTTCCACATATTATTTAGATTATGGATCCATGCATACTATTTAAAATCATGTATTAACAACACATAGTATCAACCTGGTTTTTCCGAAACAGATTAAAAGGACTTAACAAGTTCATTAAAGGACACCTTTACGTTTGGCATAATCTAATATGTAAACTCACACCCACGTTCGTTCATCCTGTATGTAACCAATAACGTGTAAATAGATACACATACGTTTATTTCAAACAAGGATTCTTCTCCAACTGGAATGACGTCTTCAACTACACCACGTAACGGCAGCATGACGTCGTGGACGTAGGGCTCAGACACTGCCACTGTGGACAGCCCTACTATGTTGGTGACTCTGACCGACACAAAGTAGGTGTGGCTGTGGTGGAGATCCCAGTGGAGGTCTGTGAGGGCTACAGCTGTACACGTGGGTGGAGACGTCAGTGTACAGCCTCCTCCCGACTGCAGCGCCGTGAAGGGGATAAGCGTCGACTGACCGTCCTTAGATCCTGACATACATAATAGAAGTTTAATGGCAGCTTAATAGAAAGGTTTACATAAGATGAATGATACTGGAGAGATAATGACAGACCTACATACCTACTGCAACCTCATATTGTAGATACTCAGTATCGGTGAAGGCTGTCACTGGCCAACGTGCTATCAAGTAGTTGTGTCTCAACGTCATCGTCATTGATCCAGAAAACAGAGGGTATGTTGTATGTACAATTACGGGGCCCACAACCTTTAACGGAACAAGAAATACATGTATTAGATTATTCCGTGAAGATCCGGGATAGAAAAGGTCTTCAGCGACCCATGCTTGCCCTAAAAGGCGACTATGCCTGTCGTAGGAGGCGACTAACGGGATCGGGTGTTCAGGCTCGCTGACTTGGTTGATGCATGTCATCGTATCCCAATTGTGTCGATCGATGCTCATGATATCAATCACTGGATTGTCTGGTCCAGACTCGATTATTTACAGATCGCCCTCATACAGCTTGAATATTGCTGAGTGCGGCGTAAAACAACAAACCAACCATCCAACCATTTTAACATATATATTTACACTTGACGGCATAAGCTTAAAGAACATAGAAAGTATATATTCTTTATAAAACAATATTTATTCTTTATGAACAATACCATGGATGACATGTGTGTGTCCTTACTCTGATGGTTGAGGCACCAGCTTTGTTGATGGCCTTGATGGCTATATAGAACTGCTGCCCCTCACTGAGACGAGGATGGTAGCCCTGATACTGAGGATGATGATGAGTGGACGTGTAGGGCAGGATATCGGGAGCTGCTTCACCAGAAGGATCTGACATCAGCCCCAGCTCGTAGTCATAGATACCGCTCTCTGTGTCACTGCCAGTCCAGTTTACAAAGAGCTGGCAAAGAAACAAATACTGAAGTGCAATGCGATGCGGAGGAAAATATTGTTACTGCACAGATATAATGAAATACCTAACCATTTCTGCTGAATGCAAATAATGAAATACTTAAGTGAGAAGCGCAGGAAAACACTTTTACTGTATACAACAAATCAGCCTCAAGATAAATAAGTGTACCGTGTGTGCACGAACTTCATGACTGCTCACCTGATGACATAAGGTACTCACATGGTGTTCTCTGTAGACGTAGAGTGAGTTGATGAAGGTGGCGGGCAAAGCGGGGAGAGATTCACAGTCAGTGTTGTAGAGTTGCATCCCACTTCCGTTGTTGTAGCGATGTATTGGAAACAGGGAAAGCTTCCCGTCATCTACTGGCGTGGCCTTGGCACTGTGGAGATACCAACATTGAAACACATTCTCGAATATATAACAAATCACCTTGTGCCAGCCAAACAGTAAACAGTATATATGTACCTGCAGCTCTTATTTAGAGTGACTATCAGGGTACGTCTTCTGTGGGTGTCGATCAACCACACATCCCCAGCTGATGACTTGACGAGGCCCTCCACCACTCTGGAGTCTCTCACTGCCACCTCACTGACACTGGGTGGGGTTGTGTCTACGGTCACTCCGTCAGAACACACAGGGTCGGATGCTTCCAGTGCTCGGTTGTAGGCCACCACTGTCACGTGATACTTGCCGACAGAGGGCGCTGTCCAGGAGGCGGATGTGGAATAGGTTTCAGTAACCTGCATACAAAGGTTATATGAACATAATTCGAAGCATTCATTATTCCAAAAATGCGATATTTACAAGCAAGGGCAATGCTATTTCATTGTTTACCTCCAATGAAGATTTATTTAATCCAAAGTCGCTTTCTTGGAAACAGTTTGGGCTAAATCTATATTGATAGAACTTGACTCCACTCTCTGTATCAAAGAATCCGTCCCAGTGTGCATGGAATTCAAGGTTGTGCTGGTAGTCCACCTCTGGGTTCCCCGAGTGACCATCGTGAACAGTGCCAGGGTTAGGGGGACTTGCGTCTATGGTCACCTGGACAAGAACGTGAAGGAGGATGATAGGAGCTAGATGATGGACATTGTGATCAAAAGCAAATGCTATACAGTTTATACATAACTGATACGTATGAGTCATCCAAACCTTCCACTTACTTTAAACTCCATCTTTGTTGTAAGTTTGGCGTGGTTTGTTACAGTGACCTCTAGATGGTAGTCAGAGTCGTGAGACCCCTTGCTCTTGTCACTAAATATTCCTCCATGTGAGAGACTTCTGTCTACTATGGTGGGCTTCACTTGGAAGTGACGATGGTAGCAGCCTTTGGCTGGCGTGCAGTAACAGTTAGCTCCCCTGGCGGCACCAGCGTAGGTGTTCTTGCAGTCAGAAACTGACTGATTGATAAAATAATGATATCAATAATACGTTTGTAATTATCATTTTGACACCTATAGATGTGTATGTTTCAAAATTCAAGTTAGCCTGCAATGTTAAATATGAGTTAACAACTATATGCAGTACTCGGGCGACACAGCTAGATTGACACAAATTGCCTTACGCTTGTGTTCCCTTGCGCCGTGATGTGCTGCACTCCATGCACGATGTCTCGACCCCGGTATTTATCTACAATCCGCCATGACACTGCCTCCAGGCCGCTGTGCTCATCGTATGCAACCCACTCCATTCTGTAATTGTATGGACCCATTACCATGAAAACACTTCATGATTGTTCTGATATAATTGTGCAGTGCACGAGTGAGTTGGAAGCATGTTTACCATGTTGAATATTAATTTATTGATACCATAACATGCCAGATTGATGAGGGAGGGGACTTGTGTCCCCGATACTTTTATATGTAAAAAATAAGACGACATTAAACAGCGAATGCTGTAATAATAAGAAAAGAAACATGCGTCATTTCGGTGAATTCCTCTACGCTGTGAACACTAATGTTGAGTCTGTCTCCTCTGGTGAGCCACAGGTTCTCTATGACTGGAGGTGATGTGTCGATGTGGACTGTCACATTCTCTTCTTTCAAGTCCGACTTGATGTCATAGGCTCGAATCCAGAAGCGCACAGTGTCACCATCGGCAAGTGAGGGTGTTATAGTTTGTGACTGACTCAGACCTTGACTGACGAACTCCTTATTAACTGGGGGACTGGTGATGGACCATCCTCCTTTATGGTCAACTTTGTATGACGACAAGAACCGTGTTACACCTGTTGAATAAAACTGTGACTTGTTTTACCATTAAATGTAAACTGACAGAATCAGCATGAATTCATGATTGACAGTATAATAATGACATAATGCATAAGATAAACCTCTAGGGACAAATATAGGGTACCATAGCTGTGTTGGATACATTTCAATAGAACCCATCTGTTCTATATTTACAAGCTTGTAATATGAACTTACCCTGAACATTGTTGATGGCAGCCACACTTCTGACACCCTCGTTGTCATCATAGTCCGAGCCGACGCCACCACTGGAAGCCACCCCATGGAGCCACTTGTTGCTGTGATGTACTGTGTTGATGTATCTGTTGGTCCAGTCCACTGTCACTGCTGATGATGTCGTTTGCCACTCTGACGTTGCTGAAGATGCAGTCGTCACACGGAGTTGTTTATTTGACTGAGTTGTGACAATCGACGAACTATCATATATCAGTATCCGTCTGGCACTTCTGTGATTACCTGCCTTGTCATAGGCAGACAGGACAACTGAGTACACGCCCGCCGTCGTTAGTGTGTAGTTGTTTGCCGTCTGAAACATAAACATGTGAAACATATATCTGTAACTTCAACAAGTAAACACCATACAACGACGTTCAACTTTCAAGTGAACAATATCTTTGATATCATGTTGGTGTTAAGTTAATGAGTTTCGAAATCGAATTATGCAGCTGAAAAGTCATGCTACTTATCATCCCCAAGACAGGTCCTGGAAACACAGGAACACCCACACGAACACATATTCACACGCACGCGACCATATGCTTGGATTTACATTGCGAATGTAACTTATCACCCATGATTTAAACTGATCTACAACAATGAATCTCTCACCGATGAGCTGGTCAAAGTGGTAGTGTCAACCCGACGTTTATCTCTGAGTTCATCCCCAACAGCGTGGAGTTCATACACCTCCCTCACAAAGTGGTCAACACCTGCATCATCATCTACCCAGCCACTCCAGCGGAGGTTCACAGTTGGCTGAAACAATTCATTGAGTCTTTCTCGGTTGTATAAGGAACTTGGGTAGTACAATGTGATCATATACAGAATAAAGTCTCTTTTTTTGTCATAAAATTATACTTACAGACTTGATGGCATTGGGAGCAGTCAGCATGCTGCCAACACAGGCAGTAGAACCAGTACAGTGATAGGGTTCCACCAGGTCAATGGTCATAGTAAAGGTGTGGGTCTGTGTAGCACCGCTGTAGTAGTGGGTTGCCAGGGTCTTAGTCTCCTTGTTCCGGACATTAACATACCCGCCATTACTTGTTGCATAAGAGAATTCGATACTGAAATACAAAATCCCAGTTATTATATGGGTCTGTGTAGCACCGCTGTAGTGGTGGGTTGCTAGTGTGCTACTCTCCTTATTCCCGAGTTTCACATACACTCCTTTACTTGTTGCGTAAGAGATGTCAATGCTGAAATGTTTTATAACACACTGGTTTGAAAAAGCTAATGATGCTGAAAACTTAATTAAGGTCTAGCTATCCCGTGGGGATCTCGGGCAGAACGTAGGTCCAGAGCACCATTAATAACACTTATATCAGGATCAGGATCCTCATGGAAACTGTAAGGCATGTGTTGAAATAGGTGTACACAAAAGTCAAGGTAAAAATGTCTGAATGCCCATTCGATGGATCACAGTCTAAGCTGTATGTAGTCACGTACAAATGTTTTCTAATCAAATGGGGGGCACGGGTGGTCCAGTCGTCTAAGGCGCTGCGATTCGCTGTGCAGAGTTGCATCGCTTAGTCACGCAAGAAACCTATGAGTCGCCCCGATTATGTTCCTAGGTTTGTCAGCACCACACCAGTGCTCGTGGGTTTCTCCAAAATGGTAAACGTCTGAGACCTGCATCACTTCGGGCTTTCCTCCCACATTAAGCTGACACCCCGCGATATAACTGGAATAATGTTAAAAGCATCGCTAAACCCAACTCACTCACTCACTCACTGTAACAACATGTATCTCTCCCTACTCACGCGTCTCTGTGTTGGAAGGGTAGAGGTAGTACAGACGCCCCTGGTGAGGTTCCTTCACAGGTGTACAGGTCTGTGTCCGGGCTGCTTCTGCTGACTCCTCCACAGGTTACTACTTTAGTGGAGACAACACCTCCACCTAGGTACACCAACAGATGAGTCAGATGAGGGAATAATACAAGTCAGAAATGTGTGCGTTGGCACTTATCAGAGCAGGAGATAAACCCAAAAACATATCGGGAGGGGAAAGTGGGAGGACGGTGAGAGCTGGACGAAGTGAGGGGGCAGCTGAAACAGTGGTCAGTGACGTCACTTTATTCATCGGGAAAGACGTCCAATAGCAACATGTTTCTTACAGATTTTCATTACTGTTCAAATTCATAAGCAGTTACATATTTTCCATTGCATAGTCTCTATTGTAAGACAAGTACTAGTTAATCTACGAATGAACAGATGTTTTCACTCTGTAATGAATATTGGAGAGAAATGATCCTATGTTTTGTGATCTCCGACAAACCTGTCTTTAGTTTGAATGTAGCAGAAGCACTGACAATGCCCACTCTAAAGCCTTCAATGAAACGATGTCCGGCAGGAGGAACTGTTCTGTACGCGGCTGTGAACTTGTAGTACATGCTGGAAGGGGAGTTGATGTTGGACCAGCTGGTGGACTGAGATGGACCACTGTTGATGTTGGGAGGTGCCTCGGCCACGTCTCCGTTGCTGGCGGTCAGTCGCAGGAGGTTGGAGTTTATTGTCGGCTTCGCTGTAACTGTAACATACGTGTACAAATATACGAACATATATCCACGTCTATAACAGCAATTATATCATAAGCTATGTTGCTCTTAATTTACAATGTCTTTGATATTTACAGGGTCAATGCTCGGTGGCAAAACGCCAGAGACAAAATCGCGTGAAACCACATTAGTCAATCCATGAAGTGTCAGATAGATCTCACTTGTCTGGCAGTGTCTTCCTGTGAAACCACTGGAGCAGGCACAGTTGCTGGCGTACTCGTTCCTGCAGGTCCCGGGATAACACCAGGTGCTGTCACTCCGCCAGGAACATGCCTCTGCGCAAACAAATGCAGGATTTATGATAGACTTTGGCATTTTTCATATATATCTCAACAGCTTCGTGAACGTGAATGGTGGGATGTATTAAGGCAAGTCATAGAATTTACTCACTGAAACAGGATTTCTGGTAAGAGGAAAACAAATATGTCCGATATCAAGCGGCGTAAAACTACGTTTTTTCACTCACTAGTGTTAATTGGGTAGGATTGTGTTTGTTTGAAAGTCTATGCGCATTAAATGATATGAAAGTGCTCAGGTAAAAGTGTATGCAAGTTTTACAGAATGACTTTAGATGATCCCCGAGAAGATTCCTACAGGTTGCGAGTATGTTTCATTGAAACGACAAATATTAACAGTAGATCCAAAATTGCAATGCAACCTCTTAAATATGTTTCCCAACAGGTTCTCGTATTTACTCACGTATGCATGATCTCCTGTCAGAAGATGCCACATATGCCCTGTGTCCTGCCTGCTCCGACACGAACCCCTCACAGCGACTACACACCTGGTTGCTGCTGCTGGTGCACGTCTCTAGGTCGCAGTTGCTGATGGCGGTGCATACTAGAGATAGGAAGAGTATCGTTATCACGTGCGTGATGAGAATTAGACAATGGTAAAGGCGACATGCAATAATTTTATTTTGGGGAAATATGATTCATGAATTTCATGATTCATGAACACATACTTACTTCTGCATCTTTCATTGCTTGGGAAAAAGCCTTCATAACAGTTGGTACAGATCCCCGGGGAAGTACAGCTCCCCCCACTCTTGTACTGTGTCCTGCCATTGTTGTATACGATGTGCGAAGTCCTGTAGTCGATGTTGCAAGCATCGGGGTTGATCTGATTGTCACATATAGCTGCAATATGAAATTTAAAAGATTTATTGTTGCATTATTTGTCATTGAACATGAAACCAGATGTATCCTTTATGGTAATATGTGCTTATCTAGGATTTGAATAAGTGAAAGGTTGTAACTTGAGCAAATTGCATTAGTGAATTTAGTGAGTCTTAGGACAAACAATTGTAAATAACAATTGACATTTTGTGTTTAAAATACGTTCGACGATCTGTCCAAATTTAATTGCCAAGGTATACATATCATCATTTAGATAACAATTGCAGTGAGGTCAGACGTTGCTTATTCAAAATAGCATAATTCGCTTACAATGGGGGCAACTTCTGTCATCTGTTGTTTTGTACCCTGTTTTGCACTCAAATCTCTTGTCTGTCCGACGCCTGGTCGTAAAAACATGTTATCTTTAGATGAGTGTTGATGCTACTGTCAACATACATATGCACATCATATCTATACAATTAGTGTCTAAGTATTAACAGTGTTAACATCATATTGTTTAACATTCTAATTAATATTTCTGCAAAAGATTACTGTTAAAGATCATTTATCAAGGAGGCCTAGTAAGATCCGGAAGATATAAATCAAACATATATTCAACCAAAAAAAACATTATGAATAATACCAATTGTGTTTAAGTAATGTAGTTGTTTACCTGTATCTTGTGCACCGACCCCACTTCCAAAAACCACACTTCACTGTGTAACGCGATGACCTGTACGTTGTAATCGTTTCTACATTTTCACTGAAAGGAAAGTACAAAGACGATATGACATGAACACGAATAAAATGTTCCATTTATCACCGAAGAAGATGTCTACAAACATAGACGAATTTTAGTGTTTACCTATAAGGACAGCAAGTCGTAACAGCAGCGGGATCTCAATTTGTCGAATGACGTCAACAATTGTCAGCTATGACGCCGTTTCTAGTGTGACCTCACGTTACAATAAGATTCGAATGACGTCAACATTTCCGTCCGGGTGACGGAAACAATACACTGTAATCTCGTGTGACGTGATAACCCTCGGGCACATATCATTTTTATGAACCGTAATATGTTTGCCCTCGTAGGTAATATAACTTGGTATTATCTTAAAATCCTGCCTCAAACATAGATTTAATATCTTTATGGTGAAATACCCACTTATACAATAAGGAGTGAGTATGGTTATACGCCGTTTTTCGCAATATTCCAGCAATATCACGGCGGGGGACACCAGAAATGGGCTTCACACATTGTGCCCATGTCGGGAATCGAAGCCGAGTCTTCGGCGTGACGAGCGAACGCTTAAACCACTAGGCTACCCGACCGCCCCTACCTATACAAGAGCAATCTAGTAAATGGTTTGACTCGTCATAAGACCAAGGTTCCTCAAGATCTCCAAAGTAAAAAATGTCCTGATAATGAATCCAAGTGAACCCGGACTTTTCTTTACACCTTTTGGTTAGTCGTTGGTTTCGTTGATTTTTGTTATTGTTTGGTTATTGCCGCACTCAACAATAGTCCAGTCTAGACCAGATCATCCTGTGACTAGCATTATGCGCATGGATGTACGCAATTTGAATACGATGACATTCATCAACGAAGGCAGCAAGAACGACACACCAGATCCCGTTAGTCGACAAGCAGGCGTTGCTGAAGACTAATTCTGAACGGGATTTTCACGGGGTTCTATAGTGAGTGAGTGAGTGAGTATGGTTTTACGCTGCTTTTAGCAATGTTCCAGCAATATCACGGCGGGGGACACCAGAAATGGGCTTCAAACATTGTACCTATGTCGGAGATCGAACCCGGGTTTTCGGCGTGACGAGCTAACGCTTTAACCACTAGGCTACCCGACCGCCCTCACGGGTGTCTATACGAAATGCATATATATTCATGTTCGTTAACCAAATCTATACTTTAGATGTCGCAAATATGATGGACAACGCCTTCACCAATATGAATTAATTATTTCGTGACTTCGAACAAATAGTTATTTTTTGTCAGTGATTGAATAATTACGTCAACATGGTTTTCTGCAACAGTGTGACGAGTAAAATTATGTTGTCAGCATGTTCATCAACACAATTACTAACTATATACTTTGAAATCTTGTCAAATACAGAAGTGTCTTCCTACTATCTGAATCATTATAAAGGTACTTTCATTGAAGTTACATGTGCACATATTTGTTTTAAATGTTCACAAACAGGTAAGTGAAAATGCATTGCAAGTAATTAATGTTCTTTTCCTAAAGTTGTATTATCAGGTTACAGTTTTTCGAAGCAATGTCGACTGGTAGTCACTTTTATGGACTGGTATGGCTAGTTGCTGCCGCAAACGTACCTTTCACTTCCGATGCATACTTCTGTATATAATATATAATCTTTGCTTGTAAACATATTTAACACAGGTTATGCCTTTATGAGACAACACAAATATGGTGAGTGTTATGTAATATACGTCAATCTAGGTTTTCCAACAGGCATACGATTGAGAACAAAACAAACATTAAAGTATCTAATAGAATTAGCATAAATAAGGGCATGAAATCCAGGTCTAATCCAACAATGCCCAACTCTTTTAAATATACTTCAATGGCATAACAATATATTTCGACCGACCCGATGCTACGTGTTATGAGAAAATATAAACAATGTTCATTTTCTGTAAATTCATTTTTCAGTTTTGATTCATTCTGGTAACAGGACAGACATTTTTTGTGTACAAGTGTTTCTTACCAGAGACAGATATAAGTAAAAGTGTGAATCTTCAAAAATCATTTTATTCCATTGGTTAGAAAGGTAAAGTACAATATGTAAAAGAATGTTCATATTTTTTTTCTTTAGCAACATGAAACAATAATTGTGAACAATCCAAATATAATATAATGAATGTGTGGCCTGCGTACTGTCTGTTGTCGTTCTCATACGTTGTAGTGATGACATGAACATACATGAACACTTTCTCAAACATGTGTGACGAGTTGGGACTTAACATATTTCTTTCGTATCTTTGTCACCTGTCGCGATTCCCAAATTGAAACATTATGTTAACCAATAATTCTGTACGTAAAGGAACGTAGTGTGCAACCAACAAACAACCAACAAATGGTATACAATTAACAATGGTATTACAAATAACCACGAATTACTGCACAACAATGACAATGGCAGTAAACAATAGAATGGTCGAACAATGTTCAGTGACAATATATAATATGATGGCAGTGGTCAGTGTCAAATACAAAAATAGACCAGAAACAAGACTGATGATCTCAACGCTGAAGAATACAGGGATCAATTGCAATTTCTCCATCCAGTTGCTTTGGAATATGGATACACCGAAAGGTTACATATATATCAACATACACCACTGCCGGGAACTGATGTAATAAACTGACGTCCAAAAGAAACTTTACCAACTGAAAATATAAATTTCAGACAAAGTATAAAAAAGTTTTCGATGAAGTCTATCTAAAACACATAACCTAGATACAACAATAGTGTATGCAGACAATATTAATCGTCTGTTACATGTTTGCGAAATAACACGACTCACAGTAGAACAACGTGAACGAGCCTTGGGTATGGTACAGATGGTAGCCACCCACGCCCATATTGCACGAACCTTCGGTTGCTCCCGTGTTGCCGTTACCAACTTGATGCAACGTTACAGACAGACAGGGCGGACCGCTGACAGGCCACGAACAGGCAGACCAAGGTTGACCACGCCCAATGATGTCCGGTACTTGCGTACCTTGCACCTCCGAAATCGCTTCCTGGCAGTGACGTCATCGGCGACAAATGCCTCAGGCCACAGGGTTAGTCGACAGACAGTGGCCAGGAGACTCAGGGCTCATGGAATCAGGGCTTTTAGACCATACAAAGGACAGCTATTGACAGCGCAACATCGTCGTCTGCGATTGAGATGGGCCCGGACTGTACGACGTTGGCAACGACGTGACTGGCAGAGGGTTGTCTTCACTGACGAAAGTCGATTCTGTATGTTTAGGGCTGATGAAAGACAACGTGTGTACCGCCGAAGAGGTGAACGAACGGCGGCGTGTTGCGTGCAGGAGGTCGTACCATATGGTGGAGGGAGTGTCATAGTGTGGGGAGGGATCTGTGGGCAGGTAAGGACACCGCTGGTCATCGTTGACGGAAACTTGACAGCTCAGCGTTACATGGATAGCATTCTTCGTCCAGTCGTCCTACCATTTCTCAAACAGCAGCCACGTGCTGTCATTTATCAGTATGACAACGCTAGGGCCCATGCAGCCAGAATTGTCACTAACTTCCTCGCAGCCAACAACATCAACGTCCTGCCGTGGCCTGCACGCTCACCCGACATGTCCCCAATAGAACACCTCTGGGACTTGATGGATCGTCGTGTTCGACAACGACCACACTCTCCAGCCAACCGGCAAGAACTGATCTTGGCCCTCCAAGAAGAATGGCGTCAAATCCCACGTGACCTCATCAGACGACTGACTTTTTCTGTGCGTAGAAGAGTTTTTGCGTGTATTGAGGCATTTGGTGGTCACACACGCTACTAATGACTTGTTATTGAACGTGAGCGATTGTTTATGAAAGCTCGAGTTTTGTACCACACCAAACTTTGGGGGGCTCTGACGTCATTCACGGTCGCAGTATGATTGTCAGTTTCAGTGTTGATTATGTTGATATATTGATCTCAATACACTTTACTTCATGCATGTATGTTTTGTTTTTGAGCAAGAGTGATTTCAGACTCAGTTTCTTTTGGACGTCAGTTTAGCAAGTGCGTTTGGACGATGACTGACGCAAAATTAATATCGGGCGTGAAGATCAATATCTGGTGTGTCATACATGCACGACGCCTTGATGTCATACTTTTTATTTACATGTGTATAGTTGCTCTTAGTATTGCTGGCCATTCCTCCTGAAGAGCTGGGCCACGTTGGCGGGTGCTGGGTTTTTGGCATACCCTCTCCGCACGAGAACATCCAAACTATGCACAAAGGTTAGGGGACTTAGCGGACCAATGTCCATATGCCTTTGGAGATACGACCTAGGCACTATGTGGTCTGGCATTGTCACCTTGCAGTTCAAAATGTCTGCCTAAATTTCCAGCGAATGGAACAACGACATTCCGCAAAATGTAAACATATCGTTGGCCAGTCGAATTCACAATAACCAAATCAGTTCGCCTGTCATGTGTGATACCGTCCTCAACCTTGATATTACCGCCCCCATACCGATCATGGTCAAGAGTCACCGCTACGTCGCCAACGACGTTTTCTGCCATTTGTGTATCGGAGGAAAAACCTTATTTGTCTGTAAGCATGGTGCACAACCTATCCTTGGTGTTGCCTAGCCCATCCCGATATTTGCCGCCAATGGTAAACTTACCCTTCACAGGACGTCTTGCATTCGGGCGGGCTACATAGAGCCGTGTTTAAACGGTAGATGTCGCCTTCGTGTTATAATATATTGTAGAGAAGTGTCAATTGATAACAGGGGGAGATTTGAAACTATTGCGTAGTGCAATTAATGTAATGAGAAGATATTGGACAGGTGTCGTTTTTTAGGCCTGCCACGTCCAGGTTTCATTGTAACCCCACCCATTTGACGGTACTTTGCCCACAGTTGAGACATTACTCTTTTTGATTGCCAAACATTCTGGGCAACTTGCGATAATCACGTCCCCTCATTCATCGTACTCACAATTCGCCATTTTGTCTTCTCATTGAGATACTGTCTCAGAGGATTAGCTTA